AGGGCAAAGAAGACTGTACATTCACAAAAATCGCTTAGACAATAAGCCATTAGAGCCTATACCCTTTCAAAGTCTAAACCAGGTCAAAAGTCCTACAAAAAACAAGGTGAAAAGAAATTTTACATAATCAACGGGAACAAACTAAAATAGAAAACAACAAAGAGCCTCCTCAAAAAGAAATCCAAATGAGGATGACCAAGGAAACAAAACAACCTGAGCAGAGTCGTAAAGAAGGCTTCCAACCACGAAGGATTCAGGACTTAACCCTCTCATTCGCCACAAAGAAAGGTGGTCAACTCAACATCCTCAGCCAAACAGGAATAAAAAACCAAAGCAAAACCTCCAAATCCACAGGCGTCAAAGAAGTTCCCAACACTCCACAAAATTGAAGAGAGGAGCACTCAAAAACCAAGAACCTTCAACAACAAAGAACATTACAGCAAGCACAGAAACAAGCCAGAATCTCCCCAGAAAAGTCAGAACAAGCCCCTCCAGATCCAACCTAGAGTCCCAAAATAATGCACCACATGAAAACCAAGGTGCTCCTTCGCACACCCCAAGCCCCATCCAACCAAGCATACTGCCCTGTGACAAACTCAGCCACCCCAAGAATCCCACCTCCTCCATTGATAAGGAGGGAAGGCCAAGCCGCAAACACCAAGCAACCAAACACCCTGACTCCCTTAAATGTGCAACTTGAAACTAATCCAATCCATTACATGCAAGTTAAGATTGAAAATTTCAAACTTTGTTTATTCCAAAAGGAAATCTTCAAGCTTTAAAAAACCACGTTGAGAAAATATACAGGGCTGGGTTTGTCGAAGCTAAGAACTTTCAAAGACACAACCCAAATCAAACCAATATGTTTAACCCTTCATTGATCCAATATGCATCTATACATATAGCTTATCTTTGGCACCTACAGGCTCATGACTAAGAATCTATACGTTTATATATGAAGTTGAGTCTCAAAATACAAATAAAAATAAGTTAACGTTCACCTCATGTTAACCGCACTAAGTAATTACCAACTTCAAACATAATTAATAAACTTAAAGATAACTAACTGTGTAGATATACACACTGACAAATTAACTCCGACATGGAAACGGCATAAATTCCAACGGCATTCATGTCGATACGACAACCTTCAACATTATAAATCATGAACCAAGGTATTTAACCAGTCAGCCTAAACACAAAGGTTGAAAATTGACAAAACAAGCGGCTATTTCTTATTTTCGTATATTTGGTGGTAGTAACTGAATCATATCAAACAACCATTCAATCCAAGGGTTCAAGACATGAAATCCCAACTCATGAGGTAAAGGAAAAAACAAAAATAAAAATAAACCCTTAAATCTTTACAATCTTCTCTTCGAAATTTGAACACAAAAAGGGAGTTCTATCACTATCATTTCTCTCTAACCGAAATGATAGTAATACAGTCGAATATGTATCACAATTTTTCCAAAAAGAAATGGGAAAATTTGCTTAAAAGCAAGCAAGGGTTTCGAATTTTAGAGAGGAAATATTTATGGGATTTGGAAAAGAAAGAAAATGAAAGAAAGGATCGGATTCTCACCTAGAGAGAAGCTGACAGGGGTAAAAACTCAGTGGGAGAATGGAATTCAGAAAAGCAGCTAGCAGCGACCGAGAAGATCTGGGCTTCCCAGATTTAAATAATGGAGGGAATGTGGTCCCATTTTATATAGGCTCCACGAAATCCCTTACTGCTACGGGGCCTGAACCCAATCCCGATACTCATAGTATAAAACCCAAAATGCTCTAGGCCCAAATAAGGCCCAAACCTGCTCGTTAAATTAATCAGATGACACATTAGTATACCCTTTGTATGACAAAAGCGGCATAACAGAACAATATAGTAACTTATGCTTTAAAAGAAAAAGGGGTTTCAATACTAAGTATATTTATTTCAATTATAGCTACATGTATTTTTATTAAAAAAAAATTAATTTTGATTTTTTTCGAAATAAAAAGGAGGAAAGAAATGACTCAAGTAGGTACTAATTAGACTTTTGTTTAAAGAAAGAAATAAGTCAAGAGGCACTCATTAGAATTTTTGTTTAAGACAATGCTAAGCTGTGTCATTTGATTTTTCATGTTAAACATTTATTAGGAGATTTTAAATGATTGTTAGGAGAACTATAAATTGGTGTTAATCACAGAAATGTTTATGAGGAAAGGCCTTCTCTATCTAAGAGGAAAATTTCCCCCGACAGAAAAGGAGACAGTGTTTGAATGGTGAAATTATAAATGAAATGACAATGTTTTGTTGGCTATATGTATCAGCAGTGTTGATCACAAAAACACACTCTGATCAGTCTCAGACAAGCATACGGATCATATGCAGTTTCAGGCCTACTCAATGCAACTTGCACGGCTCTACCCCACAATTTGCCTTCAATAATTCTGCGACCTTTATTGGCAGGCGAAGCTGCACCCTAAAAAGCATGAAACTTAGCACTGTAACTCTGATCAATGCCTTGAAGATGCTAATAAGTCATGACCATCGATTTCAGCAAGTCCAGTTTGATCAGAAAAAACCAATCAACAAAAGAAAAAGAACAACCTTCCTTTTCCTTGCCATCTTGGCGTATTAGATTGTGAAAAACTAGAGTTTCACATGCAACTCTGATGGTCTCTGATGACATTTGAAATTACATTCTCTGCAGTGTGTGCAGTTATCAATCACAGTTAATTAGTCTTGTCATGGAGCTGAAATGTTGTTTTCCAGATGAAAATCAAATTAGTTTAGATTTTAATCATTGGTGAAAACATTTCTTTGATAAGAATCTGACCTTGGAAGGTTATTTTGTCTCTTCACTGATGATCAGAATTTAGTTAAGCAGATTAAGAAGAACAAGAAGGTCTTGCTCCTGTTGTTTTTCAGTCGGTCCTGGAACCTGAAAAATGCACCCCCAGTGGCCCTGGCAGATTCAATATGTCATCATCCAAAGCACAGATCCATTATTTCTAATCATTAGAGCTAACATAAACATTTCGAGGGAAAGAAGAAGAAGAAAACAAAGCAACAGAAAAGTAATTCGGCAGAAATGTGATTCTTGGAAACTTAATTAGCAGATCTTAATATATATATATATTTACAACAAAGGCGATCTGAACTTACAAAAAAAGAAAGAAACACATAAACAAACACAACATTATTCATGTACTTCCCATCTAACATCCTGAAAAACTCGCCGGCCATGGCCAGACTCATCATGATGACAACCATCATCAAAATTCTGTGAATAGCTAACAGCATCATAGTGAAAAGACAAAGGTTTTGATCCATATATGCTGCTCTTGCCATCCCTTACCAACCTCCTCAGCAGATTTCTCCATCTCCTCCTCGTCTTGTCACTGCCGCTGCCACTATAGTGAATGCGTGAGTACTCCATTTCTTCATGCACAGGGAAGCATGATGGGGACATCATGCAACTGGAAAAATAAAAGGATCGGCGGCTGCTGAGATCTCTCTCCATTTGAGACATTGGTTTCTCCTTCCCTGTCTAGCTAGACTTTAGTTAGGTTGGAATTGGATGATGTCAAGTTTCTCTTGTGTTTCCTCAACAATCATATGAGTGAGAAGAGGATGTTGTGTCTTTTATAAGTAAAAAGAATGATGGCAAAGAATGCAAAGCTTTATCCTTTTTGGCACTAATTCAGTGGGCCTTTAATGTGTACTAGACTATTATTTATGCTAGCAAAAATTTGTAGCTGGATTAGAAAAAAAAGCAGGATAATAATCAATTAATCATGTGATCCCTAACATTTAAATACATAGGTTTTTTTCTCTGGCTTGTGATTAGTTCACAAGCCAATTATCTTCCTTATTAACCACATCAATTCCCAAAGTTGATCTGATGTGATACAAACTGAGCTTTTGGTTCATACAGGGTCTAAACAAAATCAGTCAATACACAGAATGAGTTTACTTCAACTTAGATATCAAAAGAAGGCCAAGTTGTTCTAATTGCTCTGCTGATCCGGATCCAATAATTCCAAGGAAAATACAAAATTTAAGTTAATAACAGCAAAACAGCAGACAACAATATTTTCATGCACTCACAACTGACAGTTAACACTGTGTTGTATAAACCCCAAAATGAATAGCAAGGTTTACACAAGAAAGTGGCACAACTCTCTTGCTTGTCTTTCACTTGAATTTTCAATACCTTTCTTAAAGAATTAAATTCCTGAAGTTGAAATGGAGAAATAGTACAGAATCCAAATGCAAACAAAAACTGTGAAAGTAAAGAGTATGAAAGTTTTCTTGCCTTTTTTGTCATGGCAATTCCTGTTTTCCTTTAAAAGGAATTTATATATTTTAGCCAGAAGGGCAGAACCTGATCATGCTTTGTTGGCGTCTGTTGAGCATGTAATTAATAGTATTTAGGTTTGGTGGATTGCTCATAAAGTTGCCGAGCTAATTAGGAATAGGTAAATATAAAAGCTAAAGTGAAATTTACAAATAACCAGTCACGGTGTTAGTTGAGAAGCATCGGTCATCAAACTACTTCAAACTTTAATCATGATAACATTAACTTTCTTTTAATATATGATGGTAAGCACACTTAATTGTGTGATGAAATGCTCGTGACTGCATCGTTTTCATGAATCCTCGCCTCACGAAATGAGAACAGGAAGAATCTCAATCAAACGATACTTGATTGATTGAACAGCTTTGCTGTTATTTCTTAAGGAACATTAATGGTGGTAGGTGTGAAAAAGAGTGTGTTTGACGCCTTATTTTATACGCTCAAAGATTCTCTTGAAGGATACAAAAGCTCAATATACTAGTACTAAACAAAGATTAGCTACCCTCTTGAATTGAATAAGAAATAAATACTTTTATCACTTTTTCTTAAACCCTGAGATCCTGTTGTTTTGCCTAAGCGATCAATAATGTCATGGTTCAAACAATTCATTCAGAAATTTTAATTCTTGAAGCAAAGAAGAATTAGCTGAAGGGATTAAGCAAGTAATCTTGGTACAACAAAACCTGCTTGTGGCTACAACCCAGCACGAAACTAGTGGGCACTAGGGCTGGGGGCTAGTTTGTCGTATGTATCCGAAAATTTTTTTGATTTGGGAAAAAAGAGATCAGAGCAAGCAGGGCACGTACACACTGTCATATGCAAACATTTCACTGTTCTAGGATTCAGTGTCCCAGCTCCATCCCTCTTTTATCTCTTCTATCTTTGGATTCTGTTTTCATCTTTATGGTAGTGTATATATATATATAAACCATGTTGGATATAAATGAATTACTGTTTTAATTTGGTAAATGTGTTGATGATTATGATATAAAATAAAAGTAATTAAAAATCAAAATATGTTTTCTATGTACTTGGACTTCCCCCCACTCTATTTACGTCACCAAAACAAGTAGTAGGTGAAACGGAGGTGGAAAGAAATGGCTTCATTCCACCGACTATACTGACAAAAACTTAATGGTTCTGATCAATACGTGAGATGATTGCTGAGGAACAAAAATCAACATTTCCCATGATTCAAGAGTGGGGTAATAATTATTTCAACTTCTGCTATTAAATTTAGCTCCGGGTAAACAGGTTACATGATAGGAATTGCGAAAAAACAGCTTTGCGTGCACTTGAAGAGTATCATCGAACCTGGATTTTGACCTTGGTTCAATTTCTGTACAGTTTTATCTTTGTTAATAATTCCCTGTGAACATAAGGTTAAGGTGAAGGTGAAGATGAAGCACACATTGGCCCAACATGATCTCCAACCAAAGTTTTTCTAGCAGTTGCAGGTGATGTATATTCCTCTTACAAGTGGAGTAACATAGGTCTCGTATCTACCCTCCATTTATCATTGATCAGTTTACTGTTGCTACTTGAAATTAATTGTCAATCTAGGAAGTCGTGCAACTTTTATGGAACATGATTTACCTCCCCTGCAAATGTTTGAACAGATATGGGATAATGGGGAATGGGTTGCCCAAGGAGAACAGTTAGGAAACATGATAAAGAGTAAGAGGGATGAGCTTTGGGTCATCAACAAACGAGAACATGCTTTATACAGAGTGAGAGTAAAGAAGATTATATTCCATGGTTGAACCAAATCAAACCCAACTAACTATCCAAGATTAAGATATGTTGCTCTGAATCAATCTGTTTTTTTTCTTTTTTAAAAAAAAAATTCGGTGTAAGACAGCAAATCACATTTTGAAAGTTGTAGAACATTTGAAACTCATCTGGTCGGGTCAGGGACCCCATGTGGAGAAGCTGAAGTATGTCTTGGACCAAAGACGTGGCGTTTCACATGTTGAGAAAGGACGCAACTGGACAAGGATGGTGGGTGCACATGGCCCCGAATCAATGGACTTGACCCTGTTTTACTGTTGAAATGTTGCCGGTTATTTCTGCTTCAGTTAAGCGGCGGACGGGGGATGGGGGTTGTGTTGGTTCTTCAGACAATTAAGTTTTCTTGTGGTTTTTTCCTTGATTATCATAATTAGTGCTTTCATCTACTTGTTACGCGGGCTTAAGAGACAAACACGGTGGTTTAGCTGGCCGAATGCACACCCTACGTTCGGTTTGGGCTGAAACGTCCAAACAGTGGTAGAGAGTTGAATATTATTTATGTTGACATAAAAATACAAAAAGCTGGAATAGCAAAGTTGGTTAGAGCGTATGGCCCTTAACCATAAGGTCGGAGGTTCGAGCCCTCCTTCTAGCGTTTTCGTTTTATTTTTCATGACATTTTGGGCTGGCTAGGTTAACTTAAAGGCCCATGGGCAAATAATCTTCGTTTTATTTTTCATGACATTTTGGGCTGGCCAGTTTAAGACTTAAAGGCCCATGGGTAAATATTCCTGTTTCATAAAAAGGGTTAAGACAGTTTTATTTTTCATTAAGGCCCATGGATAAACATTCCTGTTTCATAAAAAGGGTTCAGACTTCAAGGCCCATGAAAAAATATTTTCTTACATTCTGAAATTTAGTGTTTTCATTTATTTTTCATGATATTTTGGGCTGACCGGGTTTCATAAAAAGGGTTAGACTTAATGGCCCATGGGTAAATATTTTCTTACACTCTGAAGGATAGTGTTAGTGCTCAAGCCCAAAGCCACTGTCCCAGCAAGAAAACTATAAAATGTTGGAGAAAATGACGTCTGAGTTTGCGGGGACGGGTCCATATCTTTGGTGGCAAAATCTGACTCTCAAATGCATTCAGATTCTATCACCTTATATTCCTGAGGTTTTAATTCTATGGCTAAGAAATGCAGAGTTTTGGATAGGGCTTTCATGGCTAGTTTCCTTACCATGCATATCTGACGTTCGATTTCCATAAATCCTTATTTGATCATGTAAACGAGGGAATGATACTAAAGATAATCGGCACTGGCAATTAGCAACGAAAGGCCAGGACAAAAGGGAGCACATACTCAGTGGGAGCCACCAACGGTTGGAGGATAGTCGTTGCTCGTTAGAGGGACAGCAGCACTTCTTCGCTCTGAGAAGGGCCAAACCAACTTCGATAGGAAAAGGACTTGAACCCACAGATTTCAAAAATCGGCTTCCAACCATCGAAAGCTCACCCTCAACCTATGCCACAAACCAAGCCTTAGAGACATACCCATACCCTAAGTAACAAACTTCTTCCACAGCTTCAGAACCCAAAACACCAAAAGAAAGAAGAAACAAAAATGGCGATGGCAATGGCGCTTCGACGACTCTCCTCTTCCATTGACAAGCGTTTCCGTCCTTTGTACAATGCCACCTCCCTTTATTACATGGTTTCTTCTTTTCCTCTCTTTCATTTCTTCTAATTCGATATTCTGTAATAGTTTCTTTTTTAATCCTTTTTTTTTCCTCTTTTTTTTTTTGGTGCAGTCATCTTTGCCAAATGAAGCAGTGTACGAGAAGGAGAAATCTGGTGTCACTGTAAGAACTTCATTGTTTTTCTTTAAACTTGTTTAGTTTAGATTGAAAGCAATTTTCTCTTATTGGAATTATTCGATGGAAAAATTGTTCTCCTCTTTCTTCACAGTGGCCAAAGCAACTGAATGCTCCACTTGAGGCCGTTGATCCTGAAATTGCTGACATCATCGAGCTTGAGAAAGCGCGCCAATGGAAGGTAACAGCATAACTATTTTCAATCAACTAACTCTCCTTTTTTTTGTTTTTTGTTTTTAAATAACTTTGTTCTCAATGATACCCTGCTTTTGGATTGATAACATGTTAAAGTAGCTAAATTTGCTGAAAGAAAACGCCGTTTGATTTAAAGGGACTTGAACTCATTCCTTCGGAGAACTTCACTTCGGTGTCGGTGATGCAAGCAGTTGGGTCTGTCATGACCAACAAGTACAGTGAAGGGTATCCGGGTGCAAGATACTATGGAGGGAATGAGTACGTTAATCAATTCTCTAGTCCTTTCTTCGTGCTCATATTAAGTTTTGTTAGTTTATTTTATTGGGTGCTGACTTGACCGGAATCAGTAAATTCACGTAGTATCCGGATGCTTAAGTGGTTTTAACTTTCATCTTGTAGATACATCGACATGGCAGAGTCCTTATGTCAGAAGCGTGCCCTGGAAGCATTCCGGTTGGATCCTGAAAAATGGGGAGGTAAGATATGTCTAATTTGGTTATGGCAAGAGAATTCATAGCAATAGTTTTTTTTTTTTTTTGTTTTAAATTTGTTATTTATGTTGGAGGGTGAATAAAGTACCTAGAACTTTACAGATGTAGTTATTCACTGGGTGCTTACGGAGATAGTAATAGGCATGGTTAGGAAAGAAATTTTCTGCATGAGCTTTCATAGCATTTGGTTGCTGACAGGCTTTCTCTGTTTATTATGCTCTGTTGTCTGGCAGTGAATGTGCAGCCCCTTTCTGGTTCTCCAGCCAATTTTCATGTTTACACTGCACTATTAAAGCCCCATGACAGAATCATGGCACTTGATCTTCCTCATGGTGGGCATCTCTCTCATGGTTATCAGGTACTTCAAAATTACATAGCTAATTTTGTTGCACTGACTGTCCTTACTTCATAACAGTATTTAAGTACAATGTGACTTTGCAAACAAGTTTAAGCTACAGTGCAAGACATTATTCTCTTCAAACATCAGACAATGCCTCAGCAATTTCTGGAATTACTTAAAATGAAATTACGGGGTTGTAAATGTATGATTGTTCCCTAATTTATTTTTCTTCTTTGTTTGATTTATCCAAAACAGTGCAGAGAGTAAAAAAATAGTGGTAATAATTAAGAAATGAGGCTATTATTTAGACATTTTTTAAGCATTTCCCTTGTTATTTCTAAGAACAGACGCTGAGTACAAGTTTAAGAAACACCAAGAGCCACTCTCACTCTCTGTCTTGGTTAAACTTCTAGAGTCCTCTTTCATAGTCCCAGTCTCCTTCCAAGTTTTCTCCTGACACAGATATTCTGTCTAGATTCCCAGCGTCATTTTTAAAACAGACAGACATATGGGTTGAATTCTTGAAATAAGTGGTCACTCATATTTCGCCTGCTAGTTGAAATTTGAAGGTCTTCTTTTGAAGCTTTCATCTCTTGTGCTGCTATATGATAATGCATGAAACATTCTTTCTCTTTGGAAGTGTAATCCTATAATCAATGAATCTACGTCCGTATACTCTGAGGATTAAGCAGGATTAAATTCTGAATGTCAACAGTTTCTTAGGATGTCTTCTTGTTTGTATTATTATTTTCGGGTTGTAACTTGATGCTTATGTGGTTTCTTTTGTGATTGCATAGACGGACACCAAAAAGATATCTGCTGTGTCTATATTTTTTGAGACAATGCCATACAGATTGAAAGAGAGCACTGGCTATATTGACTATGACCAGGTACTTTATCAGATTTCATATTGTGATAGCTTCTTAGTTTTTCTTTCATCACTTTTCGGTCAAAATAGAATACAGTTTCCCAGATTGCAAATCAGTTTTTGTTTACAACTATTTTCCTTCCCAGTAAGGCAACACACATTTTTCATCTTCTGCTAGTTAGCTGACACTGTGCTGCATCAACTTTTTATATTACTTTTAATTGATACAAGATGTCCCCTGTGTAGTTTTGGTCTAGTTTTGCAGCTTTTGTAGTTTTTCGTTTTATTAGATTCCCCTCAATCACAGTAGAAGTTTTTCTTGACATCAAAGTTTTTAATTGCAGTTGGAGAAGAGTGCAGCTCTTTTTAGGCCAAAATTAATAGTTGCTGGTGCTAGTGCTTATGCACGTCTATATGATTATGCACGTATTCGAAAGGTAGCCTTCTTTAGATTTATCTAAAGCTATTCAGCTAAGGTTATCAATTTTGTCATACATCGAAGTTCGTGATTTTGACCCCATTTGGATGTCACATCTGTTATGTATTAAACCAGGTTTGTGACAAGCAAAAAGCAATATTGTTGGCAGACATGGCACACATTAGTGGTTTGGTTGCAGCTGGTGTCATCCCTTCACCTTTTGAGTATGCTGATGTTGTAACCACCACAACTCACAAGTCACTTCGTGGGCCTCGTGGAGCCATGATTTTCTTCAGAAAGGGACTGAAAGAGATTAACAAGCAAGGGAAAGAGGTTAGCTGCTGAAAGTAAACATTACCTTTTTATAATATCTAGCTCATTTTGTGCTCTATTCTCTTTCAACATGTGAGTGGAACAAAAATTTAGACTAGTGACTTTTTCTGCAGATTTTCTATGATTATGAAGACAAAATCAATCAGGCTGTCTTTCCTGGACTTCAAGGTGGCCCGCACAACCACACAATTACTGGTCTTGCAGTTGCACTGAAACAGGCAACTACTCCAGAGTATAAGGCCTACCAAGAGCAAGTCCTCAGTAATTGCTCAAAGTTCGCACAGGTATCATATGCAAGATGTAGCAAAATTTATTCTACAACAAAGCATGGAAACATCCCTTGTTCTCATCTACTTGATGGAGAATTATTTTTCATTTTGCTGAAGTGATTCTTTATATTCATTGAAAAAGAATGAACTCACATATACCAGGAGGCATCCTTAGGGATGTGTTTAAGAATTTTAAAAAATAAATACATATGAATCTCTCTTCTTAAACTCAGTAGTTTTAACCACCAAAATCTACCAAATTTGCAGACTCTGGCTGAGAAGGGATACGAACTTGTTTCTGGTGGAACAGAAAACCATCTAGTTTTGGTTAATCTGAAGAACAAGGTAAGAGATAGACGTTTTATATCCTCTGGCTACTTGGAGAAAATAATAAATCTGGTTTAAAAGTTCTCATACCTTACTTCTTGGTTGTGCTTTACGATTTTAAATTTGCTAATCTGTTGAGTTTTGATGGAAGATGATGCTCTTTACTAGTAGAGATGCTGGCTTCATGAAAAGAACGTTATTATGAAAGCTAGGATGAAACTAAGCTTTTATAGCATCTTCTCTACAGGGTATTGATGGCTCCAGGGTTGAAAAGGTGTTGGAAGCAGTGCATATGGCAGCAAACAAAAACACTGTACCTGGAGATGTGTCTGCTATGGTTCCTGGTGGCATCAGGATGGGTAAAGGCTGTTTTTTGTAGTTTTGTGCTGACATGACCTAAACTTATTCTTACAAGTTGAAATACACTCCAGGAACCCCTGCTCTTACGTCTAGAGGATTTGTTGAGGGGGACTTTGTTAAAGTAGCAGAATATTTTGATGCTGCTGTGAACTTGGCACTGAAAATCAAGGCTGAAACAAAAGGTTTTTGCAAGCCTTTATTCCCTCTAGTATTATTCTCTCTGAACTTGTACTTGTCTGACTATCAGTTATATCTGCTCTATAATGTGTATGTTAATAGTACAAAATTATTCTAGGTCCTTAGTCCTGACTAGTTCTGTTGCTTGACTCTACTGATTTGTGGCTACGTGCTGTTGATTTTTGTAAACCAGGGACAAAGTTGAAAGATTTCGTGGCCACACTGGCTGCTCCTAACTTTCAATCAGAGATTGCAAAACTCCGCCACAACGTTGAGGAGTATGCAAAGCAATTCCCGACAATTGGATTTGAAAAGGGAACCATGAAGTACAAGAACTGAGAAACCAACCTTGTCTGCAAGGTATATGATTGATTAACTTACCATGCTAAAAGTCATTTCTTACTTCTCTTTAGGTGAATTAGTTGACATCTAAAACCCATTTATGTTCTTCCCCCTTTGAAAAAAAATTGTTGCCAACATATATGACACAGGAGTGTCTGAGATTGTATTTTATTTAATTTACAACGCCCCGGCATCAATATACTAAGCTCTTTGGGTATGTCAGCATCTATACTAAGTGTCATCAGATGAATCTTTTAGGTTTTCCATAGTTGTGACAACCATGTTATTCTAGTTCTGTTCTTGTTGTCATGTTCTTCGCTGATTAACCATCTATTTGGAACAGGTATGCATGTGCTAGTATGATTTTTCTACTGGTGGAGGTGAATGAGGAACAACATTTTACTTGCAGGCCAATTGTATAGAATGTGAATTAACAGCTTTTATGGGTATACATGAGAAAACTTTGGTTTGAATCTTCACTGAATGTGTATACATACATACTTATAGACCCTTTGAAGCAATAAACCTGCATTGAGATCAAAAGTGGTTTCTTCTTACTGCCTTGAATTGATTCATACGGTTGATGCAAAATTCATCTGAGTAAAAGATATACTCTTGAATTGTTATGTTCATCTGAGTACCGGATTGTTCAACCGCCAGACCAAAATGATATCGGAAACAAGAACAAGAAGTAACTCATGACATTTGTTTCAGAAATGATCATCATGGAAACCCTCTGATGATGCTTCTCTAGCATTCAGTCTGGCTCTTAAGCTGCTGCAGTGCTCTTATTTTCCATAACTAAGCATCTTCACCTAGTTGGCCTTTTTGGATCCCTAGTTAAATCTGCTAGAACAAGATGGTTGAATTATGAGCACTTGATTTCGACCAATCTTTTTAGAAGTGAATCTTAGACCTTGACATTCCATTAAACAGGTATCTACTTCCAAAGTAAAGGCTGCACTTGCAACTCTATTTTTCAAGTGCTTGTAAGTCACTTCCAAGTAAGAACACAGTAATGAGAACAGGAAACGTAGACTAATAATAGCTACTATGTTGTTCATACTCTTTAAACTTTATAATATAATCAAATACTAATCAGATTGGGACTGCTACTTTTGAAAAGAATATGCATCAATATAAATTAATCACCAGAATTCTTACTATGAATAAGTTAACAAGTATTATATTAACTTTCTGTTTACCCTGTTCTTGTTTAAAAGAATGTCTTCTTTATAAAAAACAGGGGATGACAAGCTGTAACATCTCTCATTTTCATCACCTTTTTACCATTGTATTCTCACTTCCTCCTTTTTCCCAATATCTTAAAAAAATATATCATTAATTATAATATATAATAAAATATTATAATTGGAATAAACTTTTCAACTAACACTGTTGAGATATGGGATTCTTCATATCCCATGTTGGGTAACAAACTTCTAATTTCTTAATCAATATAATACAGAAATATCCAAATTAGCAATTTTCTCAGGAAACTTTCTATGTTAACCCAATACTACTAATATTGTCATTATTGGCATTAGCTTGATGACTTAATCCCATCATCACTGAACACGTGGGCAACCAGACATGAAGAAAATCTGGGTCCCATTCCCAAGGATCATCCTACAAGAACAATACTGATTTCCTCTTATCCAAGCAAATGTACAAAAATCAACAGAGGAAAAATGAGAATTACACGACACCTGCCAAACAGAGTCCTACTCAAGACAACCTTGGTTGTGGTCAACGTACTCATGGCTACTACTCGCTGCTCTCTCTCCCGCTCAGTCCATCCAATACTAAAGCGCTCGCCTTTTTCTTCTTCTTCTCCCCATTTTACCCCCAAGCTTTTCCGCAAATCCTACGCTTGTCCTCTCTGGTCTTCTTCTTTCTCTTTCTGCCTTGAGTCTCTTCACCACTCAACTTCTCCTTCTCTCTCTTTCTCTTCATTTTCTTCTTGCTCGTCTCTCTCCCCTCCTTCAATGGCTTCTTCAGCTTCTATTGATGAGAACATGGAGTCCAATCCTCTCTTGCAAGATTTCGACTTTCCACCTTTTGATGTTGTTGAAGCCAAGCATGTCAGGCCTGGGATTCGTGCCTTGTTGAAGAAACTCGTATGTTCTTTTGATTTTTTTGGGCTGGTTTTATTTCCGGGTTTAAGGCTTTTTTTTTGCCTTGTTCTAAATCCAATATTGGATTTTGCCTTTTTTGAGATCATTCTCTTTTTGAGAATTCAAATTCAAAACTTTGGTTGCCATAATCTTTTATTTGTTTGGCTTTTGGGCTTTCAAGATTTTGATTCTTCGAAACTAGTGTTAAAGTTCGAAACTTTGTAATGTTCTGGTATCTGGGATATTTGGATTTTGTGTGTTTGATTTCGAGAATGTTTGTGTTGGTTGAGTAGGAAAGTGATTTGGATGAATTGGAGAAAACAGTGGAGCCATCATGGCCAAAGATGGTGGAGCCGTTGGAAAAGATTGTTGATCGGTTGACTCTTGTGTGGGGAATGGTTAATCATCTTAAGTCTGTTAAAGATACAGCTGAGCTTCGTGCTGCCATTGAAGAAGTCCAGGTACATTGATGTTGTCATTATGTTCTCTATTTAAGGACAGTCTAATATATAACATACAATATATATACGAATATATTAATGCTTAGCACCAATTTTTCAGACATCTACTATCTATCTAATTCTTATCGTAGATTAAGTTGGTGAATTTATTTTAATGGTTTTGGCATAACTTATACCACATGCTATAGTAGGAATTTACTTAATTGATTTTCTTTCCATTTATTGAGTCGGGAACGGTGGTGTTCCTTTTTGTTTTCAAGCAATTTGGTTTGGCATTCTTGCATTACTTTGCAGTTTCCTTTAACCTCACTCTTTCCATTTTGGTCCTTATGGTGTTTAGTTTTTCCTTACAGCCCGAAAAAGTGAAGTTTCAACTAAGATTGGGACAAAGTAAACCGATCTACAATGCTTTCAAGGCTATTAGAAAATCTCCTGATTGGCAATCACTGAGTGAAGCCCGCAAACGTATTGTAGAGAGTGAGTATCTTTGTTTAGTTATCTATATATCAAATAAAATGGGAGATATTGTTCCATTTTAATTTTGGTGCCTTACTTCTATGCTAGAATCGCTACCTTAATTTAGTTATTAGATGTTGGCCAATGCTGAGTACTGACAGCAAAGTCTTATAGTTTGATTGCTATTACAAATGTGATGATTAAAATTCTGAAAAAAGAATGGAAGAAAAAAAAGTGAAACTTAATTTAGTGTGATGTTGCATGTCGATGTTGAATATATAAAAGTGATATCATTTACAATGTGCTTGTTCCATTTCTTTTAATTTCTATTAGTGTTTGAAAATGCTTGATAACTCCTTTTTTTTTTTGTATGTGTGCAGCCCAGATAAAGGAAGCTGTTCTTAATGGTGTTTCACTTGAAGATGATAAAAGAGAACAGTTTAACAAAATTGAACAGGTTCGATTTAATATTAGTTGAAGTTAAAGCAACTGAAATTTGCTTGGTGTCATACTACTGGTCCATTTTATCTTTTGAAGTCAACTTCTGTGCCAACTAAAATGAGGAGTAATTGACACAAGTTTCTTTTGAAGTTCTTGGTGTCTGTTTTCTTGCCTTTCTTTCCCTGTCTTTTAAGAAAATTATTTCCTGTAAAGTTTAGCAGGCTTGGAAATCTGAAAGTAACCATATAAATATTTATGCTCATTCTTTGTTCCTTTTGGCTATTCCTTTCAATTTACGATTAGCTGCATTACAGGAGCTGGAGAGGCTGTCTCACAAATTTAGCGAGAATGTTTTGGATGCCACAAAGAAGTTTGAAAAGCTGATAACTGATAAGAAAGAAATCGAGGGTTTGCCAGCGACTGCTCTTGGGTTAGCCGCACAAACAGCAGTTTCTAAGGTATTCTTTTCCTTCAGCTTATGTTTGCATTTACTAATGGTTTCCCATTCTCAAGCCTAGTGTGAAGTTTCCAATTTTTCTGCCGTGTATTATATTATTTCTTGGTTCTCACCTAGGGGCATGAAAATGCTACTGCTGAGAATGGCCCGTGGATGATTACGTTGGATGCTCCAAGTTTTATTTCTGTTATGCAACATGCTCGTAACCGTGCCTTGCGTGAGGAAGTCTACCGCGCTTATGTAACTCGGGCATCGAGTGGTGATTTGGATAATACACCAATAATCAATCAGATATTGCAGCTTCGGTTGGAAAAGGCTAAGCTTCTCAATTACAAGAACTATGCCGAGGTATGAATCAAGAGTATCTACAACAATATACCCTTTTCATAGGCTGACCAAAGTGTATTTGATCAGGTAAGCATGGCAACCAAAATGGCTACTGTTGATAAAGCTGAGGAGCTATTAGAAAAGCTTCGGAGTGCTTCCTGGAATGCTGCTGTCCAAGGTAGTTTGCTGGATATAGTTTCTTATTGGGTACAAAACGTTGCAAGTCTTTTGATCTTTGATTTATCATGTGAAACTATGTCCTCAGAACTTGTCTGTTTGATTAGAATAACTTATTAATGTATGATATTTTTAGTTCTTGATATTTGAAAGTTCAATTTTAACTCACAAACACTATTGTTGTTGTTAGGAACACATTCCTACTCTAGGTTATTTAAATGAAACTCCACTCACAGCAATTAATTTGTGATCATGTATGTTACTTATTATCTGATATAATTTTTCATGAATTCACCTTTAATGCTGCTGTACTAGTTGGCATTATAAGAAAGGTTGTTTTTTCTTAAATACAATTTCAGAACTTGATTTTCATGAAGCTTGCTGTGCTTTGCTTTCTATATTTCTCCTTAATAGTTCCTGTCCAATAATTTCATTCTTAATGCAATCTTTCTAAATAAAAGCTACTTGGGAAGAACTTTTAAGCATCTAATCTTTTTGGTCTTTGCAGATGTTGAAGACCTAAAAGATTACTCCAAGAGTCAAGATGCACTAGAAGCTGATAATTTGAGCCATTGGGACATCAACTTCTGGAGTGAGAGGCTTCGTGAGTCAAAATACAACATCAATGAGGTTGACTCTCTCTCTTTGCTAATTAAATTGTAGCTTCAAGACATCAGTTTTACGTGAAGAAAACTTATGTCTATCCTTATCCAAAATTGTACAGGAAGAACTCCGGCCATATTTCTCATTTTCAAAGGTTATGGATGGCCTTTTCAACCTTGCTAAGACGCTTTTTGGGATTGACATTGAGCCAGCTGATGGTCTGGCTCCTGTAAGTATTTCCTTGGTTCATCTACACTTTTCTTCACTGCCAATTTCATAGAATATTAATTTCACGTCCAACTTTTTTTTTTAAGGTCTGGAACAAAGATGTCAGGTTCTATTGTGTTAAAGATTCTTCAGGTAGTCCAATTGCCTATTTTTATTTTGATCCATACTCTCGTCCATCAGAGAAAAGGGAAGGTGCATGGATGGATGAGGTTGTTTCTCGAAGTCGTGTACTGTCACGTAATGGTACCACAGCAAGGTTGCCTGTTGCCCACATGGTGTGCAATCAAACACCACCAGTTGGGGACAAGCCAAGCCTCATGACATTCCGTGAAGTAAGTTGAAGACATTAGTTTTAAGTGTAATGCTAATGCTTCTAAGTTATGGTGTTCTGAGTGA